TTCCAGACCCTATTCCTGTGAACCAAATGAACCCTAAGATCTTGACCCAATAAACCACCAACCCAATGGGAATTACAAACTGAAGGGGGTCCCTGCAAATTTCTCAAGTGTATTGATGAGATAGGTAAACAAGAGAGGTCCTCCTTGTACCCTATAGATTTAGGGAACCATCAATTGAAGGGTGATTCGGCATGTTAGCTGGTTCGTTCCTATAGAGATAGGGATTCAAATCCCGTTGCCACCATTTTTTTTAGGAAGGGGGGAGGGCTATAAGTGTGGTGCTGTGCTACTTGAACGGCCCCTATAGGGGACTCGGACGTATCACCAAATACCAAAAAATTATTTAGGGGTCCTACTGTAATTAGTCAATCATATTCTTATGAAGAAGTATTTGTATTGTATTCATTATGTATAGGGTTGGTCCATAATAGATTGATCTAAGGGGACAAAGAATACTTTCCTGTTGGGCCTAGTTCTCCAGCCTTACAGATTAGAATGGTCACATTGAGTTGGACCAAACAGCTTCTAGTCCAGATTCTTCCCACCCCAAGGCAAAATGGGGGAAATTAAGAAGAAAAGGACAACTCTGGCTTTTTAAAATCTCTCTCTAGTCCCTTCTGTCTTTCTTAGACCCCTTAGATCTTATTGAGTGGTTGTTGGGTGTCCACATATGAACTAAACTCCTTAACCAACCTTCCAACCATTAATCTTTTTCAGTAGACTATTGCACACCCACTTGAATGAATTGCATTAATCCATCTTATCGAAGTTGGCCCCACTAACAAAAGCATGTGTGACCATTTTTTTTTCTCTTTCTCTATCTTCACTTCTCAATCTTACTGTGGGAATCACTTTTCCTCCGAAATGGCCAAGCAAAAGCACTCCAGAGTCTGGCTGGTAGGTTGATCCACTAAGAATTTATCCACAAGAGCCAACCCACAAAAAGTTAGGAGGATATGCCCAAGGAGGGGAGGGGAGTGTTTGTTTGCTCTAAAATGAAGTCTCAAATCTTATGGAGATTGGATTCTACAAACCGTTATTGTTGTTTTTATCACTAACAACAAGATCTCCTTCAGGAAAAAGCATCGGTGGTTTGGAAAAACTGGAAAGAGAATGAAGAGGACCAAACCTTCCCTGACCCTAGTGATTCACCTATATGTTATAGAAAGTCTATTGAATGACAACCTAACCACATTGCAGGCAGCAAACAGCCACAAGATTTTTAAGTGTTCCTCCGGGGAAAGGGGGAACTACCTTCCTTCCTTTGATCCTATGTGGCTAAATAAATCCAAAGAGATGGGTTAGGGCTGCCTAGCATTCATCACACTAAGGCACTAAATCATTGATGGTGGCTGTTGTAATAAGTGAAGGCATTGGCCTACAGAGACGTACACATGGAATAATTGATGCCACACAACCTCTAAGCCTGATTTCTCCTGACTGGACAAGTAAAATAATCTGCTTGGACCAAAAGAACATTAATTGCTTCATCCAGCATGCATGAACTAGCCATTGGTATTTGATGCTAGCTACTTGGTTGATATCCCACCAGCAGCTTCCTTTAATTTCTTTGCTCCAGGCGCAAAAATCCAACATGGGTCAGAGCAGAGAGGCTCTAGGCTATAGGTTTCCATAAAGGATTAATAAAAGGAAACATTTTCCATCATGGTGTCTCCCTACCAAGCAGATGATAGCTTGCTAGCAAGCTAGAGGTTTCATTAATCTTAAAATGCAGTAATTCCATAAGATCCTCCTTTAAGTAAAACCCTCTAGAGAGAGTCGTGCATGGTAGGGTCCAACAATGGACATCTCTTGAATGTAATATCTTGGTTGAAAGAACAAGAGTAAAATGACTTCACAAATCACAACCACTTTTGGTTTTGATTGTTCTGTTTTCAGAATAAATAAGGGTTATTACTTTTACCCACAGTATTTTTCTTAATATAAGTTTTTATTGTTCTGTTTTTAGTTTTTTTTATTTTTTTTTGGGGGGGTGTTTTTTTTCTGGATTTTGAGAAGGGGGAAAATTGGTCAATGGGGATCAAAATCTCATTGACCAAGAACCCCATATTCTTTTTTCAGATTTATGTGGGGACTGGGGAAAGTTTATTTTCCTAAGTGATACTCATCTCCTAAATGGATAAATAACTTTCCCACCTTGGGGGAAAGTTGCCAATATTTGAATAGGACAAAAATATCTCTTGTAATAATAGATTTTTATGGCTAAAATGGTAATTATCTTATTTGCATGGGAAATAAAAGAAAATGAGTAAATGCACTTACCCGAGTATATAAATCTTTCTTAGAAAACATTTACCTACTTACCCGGATAACTAACTTACCAAAAACCAAATGGGGCCTTTACATCAAGTTTCAACTCCTAATTAATTTTTGTTTTGAGGGTAAGGTCTCATGCCCCTCTCTTTTTTTTGGATCCTTAATTAATAAATTTTTCTCTTTCTTTAAAAAGATGTTACAGCAATTTTTACTAAAAGAAATTGCATGTCTGTGATTCCTTATAATTTGTTGTTGTTTCTTTTGAGGGCAATTGCCAATTGGGTTAGTGGTCGGTAAGTGTGAAGGAGATAGGAATCAAACCCAAATTAATAATACAAACAGTGACAGATTTGGCACATAAAATAATCTACATCTTCTCTGGCTATGTTACATAAAGAGTGATGCTTAGCCAGGCTTTTTAATTTCTTGGCACAGGCACAGCATCCTACTGCATCTGCACAGCTTGCATTCAAAATATTATCAATCAAGGCTGTAAATCCATCTCAAGTTGGCTCTTTCGAGTTTGTTTTGTTATTCCTTTTGGTGTGTTATGAATTAAAGACCTCATTAATTTATCTAAGGAGGTGGTCATCAGTTGGTCACTGTCTTATGCGGCGTTTGGGCCTCAGGCCTTAGCTACAGTGATCACGTGTCCCTGTTGGTCGAACGATGCACCACATATGCTGCCCACAAACATGTCATATCGAGATGGTGACGCCAGATTGACACCATTCCCATTCACACCAGGAAGGTCTTTCTTTATTAGCATTATATAGCAAGATTTCTTTTCCTCCATCTTTTTCCCTTTCTGCGGTGCTTGTTAAAGAAGAGTAGATTATAGATATGGTGGCATTGAAATGAAATGAAAGCTCGCTGCGCTTTCTCCTTTCTTAATTCTTCTTTTTCTCTACCCTTTTGAAATTTCCTACTGCTTTTCTGCTCAATACTCCTAGAACCTATGAAAGTTGAACAATGTGAGCTTTCTGGTTATGAACAAAACCATTGCTTGAAAAGGGCTCAACCAGCTGGTTCCAAGAATCGGCCCGAAACCCAATTAATGAATTGAGCCTGAGAGATTCGGCTTGTACAATCGGATCCAGAACCCTGGTACTGAATCATTTCTGGTTGTCTGCCACGTACTTTTTATCTATTCAAAAGAAAACGGAGAGGGGCAGGAAAATGGGTGTCCGAGATTAGTTCAAACCGGTTGGGTCGGATGGTACCATACTTTTCTAAAGCATGGCTGGGGCTCTGTCCAAAAGAAGAAAAAGGGTGGGATATATTTTCTCCTGGACGGGCCCCTCTGTTTTGAAAAATTAAAATGATGGTGGTCTCAGTCGAGCGGGCAGCATGTCCCCTAAAGCAAGGGTGCTGGTGCCAAAACACGCCACAGCAGAGCAACTTTGGGAGTGGGGTCATTAGTGGGAGAAACTTGATTAGGGTTTCCTGGAGGAGGATTGAAAGTTTATAACCTTGTAATTAATAATTGAATTGTTAACAAATTAAGGGAGAGACCCCATTAAACAAATTCACTTGCAGAAAGTAAACCAATGAGGATCTGTGATTTTCGTTTTAAATGAGCAGAAGGATGGATTCCTTGTTTTGTTGGGACCTGTACTTTGTACACATTCCACTAGAGGTCCATACCCAAATAATGCATTCCTTTTCTAATTAGTCTATGGACCCACAGTCGTCTGATCAGGCCATCTACTCGTTTAAAAGATGGATTAATTATTTTTTTCTTGTCATAAATGCAAATTGATGAGGGATTCAAATCTTTATATCAGATTCTATAATGGTATTAGCGGTTGATGAGGAATTAGAAGATCAGGAATCTGTGTTAATTGGGTTCTTCAGTAAAGTCTGTTGGGTGGAGCTATGGACAAATACAGCAAACTCAAGCCAGCTTCATTCACTGCATCAGTGGGAAGCACACCCATCTGCCATCTGACCCGGATTCGTTTACCGCATGCTTATTAATTTGTTTGGTTATGATGGAACCGGAGAAAGATGCTCTGCTGGTCAAGAAGACAAGAGCTGCCACTGCCACCTTCACCATTTGATAATGGGCTTTCCTTTGCTCAACCACTGCTGCTTTATCACTGTTAGTTGTCCAAATTAATGCAATTGACCGGTTATGAGAATATGCACTATGGATACTGAGAATATTATTTTAAGAAACTAATATTAAAACATTCAAAAGCGGAGACCTTACTGATTAATTAATAAACTGTATCACTGGTAATGAAGTATAGTGGCTTTCACAGGCAAATTAAAAGACTGATGATAGAGTGGTGTCTGTGAGATAGAAGAAATGGAAATTGTACAAGGTGGGGGGTGGTGGGGTCCTGTGTATGTTGATGGGGACCAGGGCGCAAGGGGTAACCATTCCCCTCGTGCGCGCTATCTATCAATGGCGGCTCAGCCCCTCCTCAATTATCATCATTAATGGCTGTGAGCCAAAACAGAAACTGTTAGTGTTAGGTTACTGTAGTCTGCACTGTGGACCGTCTCTCTCTCTCCCACTCTTTTGTTTGGTAGTGCGATGGGAGTTGTCTTGTCAGCTGAGAGGGGGTGAGGAGAGAAGAATGTGGGAGACAACCAAAAACAATGGAAGGGTACTACTGGTTGACATAACGTCTTTTTAGGACTGGCTGTGGGACACCCTTCTCCACACAAACTCGCTTTCCCTCTCCATGCCTAGGACTATATTTACAGCCCTCACCCTTCCCCTAGGACTCCAAGTCTCCACCATTTTTTCGACCTTCGTTTCCAACTTTCTATGTGTTAATCATCCCGTCTCTTAGCTAGCTTTCTGCCACTCTTTCTTCCTCCGAAACCTTTTAATTTGGTGCCTGCTGCTTCAATGGCGGATACTGGTTCAGGCTGGGCTAAGAGAATGTGCTCGGTGCCTGAAAGGGCCAAGCTGCACATGGCCATGTTGGCCCTGCAGTTTGGTTATGCTGGGTTTCATGTCGTCTCACGAGCGGCTCTCAATATGGGCATAAGCAAGATTGTGTTCCCCGTCTACAGGAACATCATCGCTTTGCTTCTGCTCGTTCCTTTTGCTTATTTTCTAGAGAAGTATGTTAGCTATTTCAAAATTAACCTCTATGGACGACCTATCCTCTTGTCTTCCGTTCTTCAGACTAGAAAGATATGATTTTTAACCTGTGCATACCTTAATTGCTTGTAGGAAAGAGAGGCCAGCCATGACTCTTAATTTTATGGTTCAGTTTTTCCTCCTTGCGCTAGTCGGGTACGATTATCTCAGAGTACAAAGATAAAGAATTGATTAAATCATAGACTAACGAAGTTTTGAGAAAATAATTAACTATATATGTTGCCTGATGAACTGAGTTGCATTTCAATTCCCAACAGAATAACAGCCAACCAAGGATTCTACTTGTTGGGTTTGGACAACACATCGCCCACTTTCGCATCTGCCATTCAGAACTCGGTTCCAGCCATAACCTTTCTTATGGCTGCCATACTCAGGTAACTAAGCACGTTTGTTCATTCATATTTTGTTCGGTACGTGGAGACCCATTATGTATTCCTGCATTTTAATTTAGTTCTGCTTTGCTTCTACAAATATAAGTCTATTTACAACTAATTAATTTCGCGGTTTTCATTCATTGTTTACTGGGTTGACAGGATAGAACAAGTACGCTTAAATAGAAAAGACGGCATTGCCAAAGTGGTCGGAACTCTCTCCTGTGTCGCCGGAGCTTCGGTCATCACCCTATACAAAGGCCCAACCATCTTTAGGCCCTCCCCACATCTACACCAAACACCACTCCTGCTTTCGTTAGGGGACGCTAAAGGCAAGAACTGGACCTTGGGGTGCATTTACCTCATTGGGCACTGCCTCTCCTGGTCAGCCTGGCTCGTCTTACAAGCACCCGTCCTCAAGAAATACCCAGCTCGACTGTCTGTCACCTCTTATACTTGCTTCTTCGGCGTCATACAGTTCCTAGTAATTGCCGCCTTCATCGAGAGAAACTCTCAAGCTTGGATAGTTCACTCCGGCGCCGAGCTCTTCAGTGTTTTCTACGCGGTTCGTATAACAGACGTTGAACCAAACGATAAAAATTTTGTTAATTTTTTACGGAGGATTGCTTGTGAAGCAGCAACAGCTTCACAAGCTGTCGTATAAAAAAATAAAAAATGAAAGCAGAGAGGCTGAGAGGGTATACTTTAATCGTTTTCTCTCGGTGCTTTTCACTGTTTGCATAAAGTATTATTATAGCTGAGTGTACTTTGGATTACTGATAATGACACGATGACCGTCCGGGTTGCAGGGAGTGGTAGCTTCAGGGATCGCCTTTGCTGTTCAGATCTGGTGCATTGACAGGGGTGGCCCTGTGTTTGTGGCAGTGTATCAACCTGTCCAGACCTTGGTTGTCGCCATTATGGCCTCCATCGCTTTGGGTGAACAGTTCTACTTGGGAGGGTGGGTATTCCTCAGCAGCAACTTCCACAGTTCCACTTTCTTGCTTTCTTGTTTTTGTGAAACAACTTCTCAGGCCACCCAGGTGGCTGACATTCAAGCGTCACCGGCCGGCCGGTGGTCGCCAGAAATCTACTCCATGGATGGTTAAGAAAGAGGGTTACTGGGTTAGCTCTCTCCATTGCTTGAATGCATGATAAAGAAATGCCTGAGTTACTGGCCGGGCAATGTGGATCCTCATTGCCCATTAGATCACGAAACAACCCAAGTGATCTGAGTCTAAAATTGGCTTGACATTTCTGTAAATTGATGGTGATGTGCAGGATCATCGGTGCAGTGCTGATTATAATCGGATTGTACCTGGTACTGTGGGGGAAAAGCGAGGAGAGAAAGTTTGCAAAGGAAACAGCTGCGATCATCACCTCAGCCTCCGAGCAAGGAAGCAACAGGATGTCGAGCCACCCCAAGTCCTCCCTCGTCCAGCCCTTACTGTCTCCGTCTACCGAGAATGTTTGACGGGGGAACCCAGCAAACTTCTTCAGCTACGGACTACAGTGTTGATCTTGATCTCTATAAGCCTGTGTGTATGATCTATGTATTTTTTAGTCCTTTGTACTTAAGCTAAGATGACGGTCAATGTTTTGAAGGAAGATCAAACTACCTATCAATTATCACATCTTAAAAGTGAAAAGAGGATTAGTTATTGGGCAGGGCCACTTATTAGGGTTATCAATGGCTTGATCACATCCAAGGTAACGTTTGGTTTGGAGATCATGATGAGACATCAGGGATGTTGAGAAAATAAGCGGACCCCACTTTTTCTATTTTATATTATCAACAATGGGACGCATGTCATCTTTCCTGTACGTAATTAGGGTTTTGTTTGTCATTTATCACCTTAATTACACGTTTTCAATGATTTCAGTAACATTTCAATGCTGGCTATCCTTATGCATCGATTTGTGCCGTTCTGGTTTGCACCTTTGTGCTCAAATACATTGACAAATTACAGGTTCCATTAGTTGTGAACTAGCGGTTATTGTTCATCTTTGGTGGAATAACGCATAAGATGTTGAGGATGAGAGCAAAGGGGTCCCCTATTTTCTTCGATCGAATAAGAGAGGAAGCTTTTACTTCGATTTTATCAAAATTAACGCCCAAAATCAAGATAACCCTTTGACAAGTTTACATTTTTACCTCAACTTTCAGTAGGCTTTCACGACCAAATGGCTGTAAAACAAAAGCGGAATTCATTAAGTGTTCCAATTTGGTGCTTGCGCTGGCTTTACAACTAAACAAAGTTTTAAAACCAATAATGTTTGTTCACTTTATGGATTATGAGATGGGGAAAGTCCGTAAATAGGATTTTGATTCTTATTAATCAAGAAATTTATTTCTCTAGGTATTACTTACCCTTACCTATCTCCCAGGTGGATAAATAACACTTGAATGAGACAAAAATACCCCTTTTAATAATAGACTTTTATGGTTAAAACAATAATTGTCTTATTTATGTGGGGAACAAAATAACATGGATAAATGCACTTACCTAGATAAATAATTTACTGAAAAGCGAATGGGGCCTAAGGATTATTTTTGTGAATCCGGCATTTAAATTATTAAGATCTGCCTTGGCACAAGCAACACAAATGATTAATTGTAGTCAAGGATCGAAATATCACAATGTATTAGGGCATATTGGCTGATATGTATTGTATCGAGGCCCCTCCAGTATGCCCCTACACTTATGTTTTGGGGTTCCACCTATTTCAGGCGGTAGATAGGCCTTAAACTAATCCCCCTGAACTAGTTTCAAAGAAAAAAAACTGAAAAAAAAAAAAGAGAGCTTTGATATAGGCTGATTTGCCTCATCAAGCATATTAGACTGTATCAATATTTTGAACCTTGATTGCAGTGCAACTTGGGTGAGTGAAACAACATGAATTAGTTTGGGTTGGGTTGATTCAAGTTTGGATTAGGGTTGATTCTCTTCTATGTTAATATGTAAGTTGGAATATTATTTCTTCTCATGATCAATGTTCTAAGTTGGTGATAGAGATGACAATAAGGATTTCAGTGTTCCATACATTGATAGTCAAAATCTAAAAAATTGTGATATGTTCAGTTTGATTGGCACCTCT